CACAGGCTGGAAGCAGAAGGATGATCTGCTTGCCTCAGCAGAAGGGGGTGGGAGTGGGCGGGGCTTGTCTCTTAAAGGGACAGGACAGATCATAACAGTTTCTGTCCTCCCTGGGCTCCCCTTAGGACACCTGTGTTACTGTTTGACAGGTGGACCACTCCAGTCAAACCTGGCACTGTCCCAGGAGCTGGTTGTGCTTGGCTCTAGTACTGAATTCAGGTACTCTGCAATAGCACTGCTCCTTTTCATTTTGTTGAACTTTCCCCTTTTGATTGAAAATAGATCTTTCTCTTATATAATACATGCTGATTATGGTTTCCCCTTCTCCTCCTCCTTCTAGTCCATCCACAGCTCCTGTCCAGTCTGGATCCACTCCCTTTCTCTCTCTCATTAGAAATCAAACAGGCTTCTTAGGGTTAATAATAAAATGATAGCACAAAACTAACAAGTTGGAATTGATCAAAACAGAAGATACAGAGACCCACTTCTTTGCACACTCAGGCATGCCATGAAACACTAAACCAGAAGCCATATAGTATAAGAAAGGGACCTGGTGCGGACTCAGGCAGACCTTGTGCACAATGACTCAGTCTATGTGAGTTCATATGAGCTTTGATCACGTTTATTTAGAATGGTGGTTTTCAGCCTGTGGGTCACAACCTCTTTGGACATTGAAGAACCCATTCACAGGGGTTTTCTAAGACCATTGTAAAACATAGTTTATAATTAATTATTGTAAAAACAAAATTACAGCTATAAAGTAGCAACAACAATAATTTTATGGTTTGGGGGATCACCACATCACACAACATGAGGAACTGTGTTAAAGGATCAGCAGCTTTAGGGAAGTTGAGAACTAATGCTCTAGACTCTTAGGTATGCCGTTACATTGCCAGTATGAGATCTCTACATTTTTTTAATGTTGGCACTTAGTACTATTAACTTTCCTTTCCACTTAGAACTACCTTTATTGTGTTCTGTAAGTTTAGGTGTATTATGTATCCATTATTCCCAATTCTACAAAGTCTTTAAGTTCTTTCTTGACCTATTAGAGTTGTTTAGTGTCCAAAAATTTGTAAGCTTTCTGCTGATTCTGTTGTTGTTAATATCCAACATTAGCCCATGGTGGTCAGCATGGCATTATTTCGTTTTTCTTCTATCTGTTGAGACTTGCTTGTGTCCCAGTATGTGGTCAGTTTGGGGAGAAGTTCCACAAAGTTCTGAGAAGTTATAGTCTCTTATATTTAATTTAAATTTTCTGTAAATATCTGTTAGGTTCATTTGCCCCTAACATCAGCTATCTTAAGCATTTTTCTATTTAGCTTTTGTCTGGATACTGCCTATTAATGAGAGTTAGGTATTGAAGTCTCACACTATCATTGTGTGACAATCAATATGTGATTTAAGCTATAGTCATGTTTCTTTTACAAATTTGGGTGCCCTTGTATTTGGAGAATAGATGTTAAGAATTGAAATGTCCTCTGGGTGGACTTTTTTCTTTGTTGCATATGTAGTGTCCTTCCCTATCTCTTCTGGTTAGTTTTGATTTTAAGTCTATTTTATTACATATTAAGACAGATACACCAACTTGCTTCTTATGTCCATTTGCTTGGAATATGTTTTTCCAGTCTTTTACCATGAGGTGATACATATCCTTGAAGTTTAGGCGTGTTTCTTGGTTATAGAAAAAGGATGGATACTACTTTCACATCCATTCTATTAGTCTGTGCTTTTTTATTGGGCAATTGAAACCACTCATTTTGAAAGTGAGTTTCAAATCACTTTCAATTAACATTATTGAATTGAGCATTATTTGTCGACTCCTGTTTTGTTGTTGATAGTGGTGTTGGTGTGTGTGTGTGTTTTCCTTCTTTTAATTTTCTTTCTGAGATTATTTATTCTTTGTGTTTTCTTGGGTGTGGGTAAACTCTTTAGACTGGAGTTTTTCCTTCCGGTCCCTTTTGTAGGGCTGGATTTTTAGCTAGCAACTGCTTAAATTTGGTTTTATCTTGGGATGTCTTATTTTCTCCATCTATGGTGATTTAAAGTTTTGCTGAATATAGTAGTCTGTTCTAGCATCTGTGTTCCCTTAGAGTCTGCAGCACATCTGTCCAGTCCCTGCTCTCTTTTAGAGTCTCCTAAGATGTCGCATGTTACTCTAATAGGTCTCTTTTTATATGTTATTTGGTCTTTTTCCATTGCAGATTTTAATATTCTTTCCTGTTCTGGATGTTTAGTGTTTGAATTATTATGTGATGAGGGGAACTTTTTTTCTGGGTCAGTCTATTTGGTGTTTTGTTTGCTTCTTGTACCTTGGTAGGAGTTTTGTATGCTGCTTGTACCTTCTTTAGGTTACAGACATTTTTTTCTAGGATTTTTTTGAAAATATTTTGTGTTTATTATTCTCTATTCCTATTATTCTTAGATTTGATTTTTTTCATAATGCCCCAGATTTCCTAGATATTCTGTGCTAAAAGCTTTTTAGATTTAATACTTTCTTTGACTGCGGTGTCCATTTCTTCTATCATGTCTTCAATGCTTGAGATTCTCTCTTCCATTTATTGTATTCTTTGACTCTGAGGTTCCTGTTCAAGTTCCTAAATTTTTCATTTCCAGAGTTCCCTCAGTTTAGGTTTTCTTTATTGAGTCAATTTCCACTTTCAACTCTTGACTTATTCTACTGGTTCCCTTTCACTGTTTGTTTGTGTTTGCATGGATGTCCTTAAGAGATTTGGTCCTCTTTAAGGACCTCTATCATATTCATAAAGGCTAATTATGGTCTTTGTCTCATGCTTAACCTATGCTGCAATACTCAGGGCCTGCTGTGATCAGGTTGGGCTCTAGTAAAGACATATTGTCCTAAGTATTATTGATTGTGTTTTTACAATAGTATCTATGTTTCTCGGTTTGGGAAGATTATAATTCTAGATGCTGATATCTAGTCTTGTCTTTGTTGGGTGAGAGTGTTTTGTTTCTTTGTTCTGTTTCCTCTTTGTGATGGCTGTGTATTGTATGGTAGGAAAATCCTTCCAGGATCCTTATAGGTGTGTTCATGCAGGAGCAGGAGTGTGTTCCAGGTAAAATGTGTTTCTATTTCTAGGTATTGAAGCTCTCGCTTTGGAGTGGGAAATCACTAGGTTGAGGGGGCTGAGTGGGTTCACAGGAGGGAGGAAAGCAGGGTGTTCCACCAGTATCTCCTGAGTCCTTTGGGATTGGTGACAGAGAGTGAGTCTCAGTAGCTTCTTACTTTACAGTGAGCACAGTAGCTTCTTACCTATAGAGGCTGAGATGAGACTTGGGGATGGCACTTGGAGGATGAAGAGAGAGGGGAAGATCTGCAGTTAGCCCACCTGCTTTGCTGGCTAAAGTGGCCCATGTGTTCCCAGAGAAAGCCTGTTAGGGTTGAGGGCTGCGACAAATCAATGCATTGGGGGAAAGAAGTTTGTACGAGAAGATCTGTGCGTTCCACTCAGAAGCAAGGCAGAAGGGAGGCTGCTGGAGGTGGTCTATCCCACAGCTGGGGCTAAATAAGACTGGGAGACTGGGCTTGGAGGAGCTGAGAGGTGAAGATCTACAGCCAGCCTCCCTGTTTGGTGGTCAGAGTGTCCTGAGGCATCCCAGGAAATTTCTGCTGAAATTGGGAGCTGGGATAAAGTAATGAATGTGGAGTTAGGAAGTTAGGAGGGACGATCTGTGTGTCCACTGCAGACAAGGGAGAAGAGAAGGGAGCCACCAGTGGATTGTCTGCTGCAGAGGTAAGGATGAGACTGGGTAATTGTATTTGGAGGAGCTGAAGGGGAGGTAAAGATCTGAGGCAGTATGTTCTCTTAACCACTAAGCAATCCTTCCACCCCACCTCCATGAAACAGATACAGTGTTTAGTCCCATTCTGCAGATGAGAAAGCTGACCAAGATGGTACGTGCTTGCCCAAACTCATGGTGAAGTGTCCATACTCAGGTTGTCCCTCTGCACTGTGCCCCACCACCTTGGGAGTAATGTGATGACACATAATTCGGTTCCCTTTTCAGTTTTATTGAAATATTATTGAAAAATAAAATATGCATGTATTGCAAGGGTACAAAATGAAGTATTCATAGATTTACACATTGAGGAGCTGTCAGTCAAGCTAGTGTAGCTATTACATAGCTATTATGTTCTCTTTCCATATCTCTTCTCCACCCTCTTTCTTCCCCCTTCTTTTCTTCCCCTCACCCTTTGAGGGAGTCCAGTTAAACTTCTGGTAAATTTTAGTGATACAATACATCATTGTTAACTGGAGTCACAATGCTGTGCATTAGCTCCTTAGAATCTTTGCATCTTGAGTGAATGAAGTTTTGTAGGACTTTTGAGTCCTAGCTCCCCATTTTCTCCTCATCACAGCCCTCGTGAAACATTTTATTCTTTGAGTCCTGTCTCACCATTTTCTCCTCATCCTAGCCCTTGGCAACACCATTCTGCCTTCTGCACCCAGGCTTGACTATTAGTTTCCACATATGAGTGAGAACCTTTTGTTGTCTGTCTTTGGCTTATTTTTCTTAATACTATATTCTCTACGATGTGTGAAATGAAATTCCTTCTTTTCAGAGGCTGAGTAGTTTCCTTTAGCATAGGTGTATATGAATATGTAATTCATGAATTTTGAAGTTATTTCTATTCCTTGGATAGCATGAATAATGTTATGGTGGGCATGTATAGGCTCATTTCCCTTTTTGGGTATGGATCTCATTCATATATAAAGTAGTACTCCCTCATCTGTGGATGGTGCGTGCGTGTGTGTGTGTGTGTGTGTGTGTGTGTGTGTGCGGTGTGTTTTACTGTAACTGTTTAGCTATCAGATAGGAGTCGAGGCTTGTGCAAATGAAGCTTTTTGGAAGTGATCTGGACACCAGAATTACATTTTAACTGAAAACCTTTACATCCCAGTTTCCCTAGGACATTGTCTTTCTTGCTTTTTAGATCTCACAAGCCACCCTTTTTTTTCTTTCCCTCCACATTTCAGGCCATGTTCAGTCTTTGTATGGTGGAGAGTGAAGCCGATGAAGTAAACTTACGAGGCGTGACCAGCCTGGGCTTAAAGCAGGCTCTGGAGTTTGCCTACACAGGACAGGTATGGTACAAATGTGACCTGAGCAGCTTTGCTTACTGACTGTGTCTAACCAAAGGAATTTATTGACAATGGATGATATTTAGTTGATTTATATATTGTTCATTTTAATGGTTAAAAAAATTACATCTACCTAATTTTATAATTGAAGTAATGGAAAAGTGAATAAGCCATTTGATTTTTAATGTTATCTAGTAAACATAGTATTTTATTTATCTATCTATCTATTTATTTATTTATTAAAAATTTCCATCTCCCCCTCCCTTTTCCCTCCCCTTCCCCACCTTCTCATCCCTCTCTAGTCCTCAGAGCAGTCAGGGTTCCCTGCCCCATGGGAAGTCCAAGGTCCTCCCCCCTCCATCCGGGTCTATAAAGGTGGCATCCAAACAAACCAGGCTCCCACAAAGTCAGTCCATGCAGTAGAATCAAAACCTAGTGCCATTGTCCTTGGCTTCTCAGTCAGCCTTCATTGCCAGCCACATTCAGAGTATCCAGTTTGATCACATGCTCCATCACTCCCAGTCAAGCTGGCCTTGGTGAGCTCCCATTAGATCAGTCCCACAGTCTCTGTGGGTGAACGCACCCCTCGTGATCCTGACTTCCTTGCTCATGTTCTTCCTCCTTCTGCTCCTCATTTGGATCATGGGAGCTAAGTTCAGTGCTCCAATATGGGTCTCTGTCTCTATCTCCATCCATCGCCAGATGAAGATTCTATGGTGATTTGCAAGATATTCATCAGTGTGGTTAAGGCACAAGGTCAGTTCAGGCACCCTCTCCTCTGCTGCCCAAGGAACAATCTGGGGACCTCTCCTTGGACCTGGGAACCCCTCTAGAGTCAAGTCTCTTGCAAACCCTAAATGGCTCCCTTAATTAAGATATTTACTTCCCTGTTCCCCTATCCATCCTTCCTCCGTCCCACCCTTCCTATTCCCCCAAGCTCTTCCGAATCTTCCCCTTCTCCCTTCTCTCCACCCATCTCCCCTTACATCCACTCCCTACACCCCCGTGCACCCAAGATTTGCCTGGCAATCTTGTTTACTTCCAATATCCAGGAGGATAACTATGTGATTTTCTTTGGGTTCACCTTATTTAGCTTCTCTATGATCATGAATTATAGGCTTAATAATTATGAGCCTATTAGTCCTTTAATTATGGCTAGAATCCACTTATGAGTACCATATCATACTACTCTTTTTGGGTCTGGGTTACCTGACTCAGTAAAGCGTTTTCTATTTCCATCCATTTGCATGCAAAGTTCAAGATGTCATTGTTTTTTACTGCTGAGTAAAACTCTAATGTGTATATGTTCCACACCTTCTTTAACCATTCTTCCATTGAGGGGCACCTAGGTTGTTTCCAGGTTCTGACTATTACAAATAGTGCTACTATGAACATAGTTGAACAAATACTTTTGTAGTATGATAGGGCATCTCTTGAGTATATTCCCAAGAGCTGGGTCCCGAGGGAGGTTGACTCCCAGTTTCCTGAGAAACTGCCACACTGATTTCCAAAGTGGCTGCACAAGTTTGCATTCCCACCAACAATGGGTGAGTGTTCACCTTACTCCACATCCTCTCCAGCATAGGCTGTTATTGGTGTTTTTGATTTTAGCTATTCTGACAGGTGTAAGGTGGTATCTCAAAGTTGTTTTGATTTGCATTTTCCTCATCGCTAAGGAGGTTGAGCATGACCATAAGTGTCTTTTGGCCATTTGAACTTCTTCTGTTGAGAAGTCTCTGTTAAGCTCAGTACCCCATTTTTTAATTGGGTTAATTAGAGTTTTAGTGTCTAGTTTCTTGAGTTCTTTGTATATTTTGGAGATCAGACCTTTGTCTGATGAGAGGTTGGTGAAGATCTTCTCCCAATCAGTAGGTAGCCTTTTTGTCCTACTGACAGTGTCCTTTGCTTTACAGAAGCTTCTCAGTTTCAGGAGGTCCCATTTATTCATTGTTTCTCTTATTGTCTGTGCTACTGGGGTTCTACCTAAGAAGTAGTCTCCTGTGCCTATGTCTTGTAGACTACTTCCCACTTTCTCTTCTATCAGGTTCAAAATGGTCAGATTAATGTTGAGGTCTTTAATCCATTTGGACTTAAGTTTTGTGCATGGTGATAGATATGGATCTATTTACATTCTTCTACAGGTTGACATCCAGTTATGCCAGCACTATTTTTTAAAGATGCTTAAACATAGTACTTAATCTGAACTATGTGCTTGCTAAGATTGTTTTCTCCCAAATAACTGCCATGAGGAGAATTTTGCAGTTTGTTGAATTCTTGCTACCACTTGAGCTCAGTGTCTCAGCTATGGCTTTATTGTCTAAAAACAAGACCAAAATAGGGCAAGAACTGTAGTCCAGTGAGTGAACAATATCCACATCCACAAAGAAAAAAAATCAAAACATTCATCTTAGGGTTACTATTGGTGATAAAACACCATGATTTAAAGCAAGTAGAGGAGGAAAATGTTTATTTGACTTTCTGTCTACATCACAGTTCATCATAGAAGGCAGGTATGCCAGGAACTCAAAATAGGGCAGGAACTTGGAGGTAGGAGCTGATACAGAGGCCATGGAATAATGCTGTTTACTGAAAAATTATCCATGAATTACTCAATTTGCTTTCTGAGAACTCAGGGCCAGCCCAAAAGTAGAACTTCCCACAATGGGCAGCAATTCTCCCCTATCTATCACTAAGAAAATATCCTGCATGCTTGCCTACAGCCTGATCTTATGGATCCATTTTCTAAATTTTGGTTCCCCTCTCTTAGATGATTGTAACTTGTGTCAAGTTGACATTAAATTAGCCAACACAATTAACCTGTTGTCAACTTGACACACACTATTTAACAATAACCTTTCCATTTTCGGTTTATACCCAAGATCTCATATTAATAACTGTCACAATATAAAACATATTACAAATGTAAAAGTCCTACAAAAGTTACAAACACAGATTCAAACACTTTAAAATTTCAATGTATTTTATATATCCAGTTTCTTTCAAAAGATAGTTTCTCCAAAAATCCGGTCTCTAAAACTTCAAAATCTCTTTAATAATTCCAGGTCTCTCAAATGTGGACTTCTATAAAACCAATAGTAAGTTAAATACTTTCATACTCCCAGAGAGAAGGACCAGGGCACAGTCATAATCTGAACAAAGCAAAGCTGTAAGTCTAACAACATAAATCTCAGTGTCAGACTTCTAGAATTCACGATGCTCTTGGTTCCTCCAAAGGGATTACCACAGCACACACAGCTTGTGTAGTAGGCTTAGGCAAGTTCCACTCCGTGGCTGCTAGAGGTTCTTGGAAGTTTTCCCATGGTACTGGCATCTCCAAAATGCTGGGTCTCCTGCTGCAACTGGGCTACGTTCTCACTGTTTTCACTTCACGGACTCCAGCCCTGCCACAAAGTATCATGACCCATTCATGCCTTCAAAAACATTACAGGTGACTCTTATAATACCAACTTCTTCCAGCATGAGGTACAACACCGGCCACCTTTTGAACACAGCTGCTGCGTGCTGAATCTAAAGAACTATTTCCAGAAAGACTACACTTCAATAGTGCGGGTCTCTTCTTAAAATCATGACCAACTCTTCAGGCCCAGCTGACCAACTTCCATTATTCTAGCAAAGCAAAGGTTTTTCTTTAGTGGTTCTAATCTCTTGTCAATTACAACTGATGCTTCAGAATCGGCTGGTCATACACCACAGATTTTACACACAAATGGCTCAGTAGAATCCTTGCTTCCCTCTGAAACTTCATAAGCCAGTTGTTCACTGTCTGCATTTCTCTTGATATTCTTATCTCCCACAGAATAGCTTACTAAGCTCTCAACACTCAATAGCTTTTCCAGCCTGAAATTCCAAAGGCAATCTTCAGTCTTCCTAAAGCTACATGGTCAGGTCTGCCATAGCAATACCCTACTCCTGGTACCAATTTTCTGTATTAGGCAGATTGCTCTGAGGAAACATCATGACTGAAAGCAACTGGAGGAGGAAAGAGTTTATTTTCCCAACTCTTCCATATCACTGTTCATCATAGGAAGCAGTCAGGCCAAGAATCCTAATAGAGCAGGAACGTAGAGCCAGGATCTGATGTGGAGGGGTGCTGTTTGCTAGATTGCTCTCCATTGTAACATGAGGGGAGGCTTGCTTGTCTGAATTTCTGTCCTGCCTGGCCCCCCACAGCCAGCTGTTTAGTCCCAGAGAAAAATCAACCACAGAGTACTCAGTAAGTTATAAAGCTGATTGGCCCTTTAGGTCAGGCTTCTTACTGGCTAACTCTCACATCTTGATTAACCCATTTTTCTGATCTATGTTAGCCATGTGACTCAGTACCTTTTTCAGTGGGGCAGCTCGCATCCTGCTGCTTCAGTGATCTGGGCAGGAGTGGGAGCAATCAACCTCTTCCTCCCCAGAATTCTCCTGCTCTCCTTGCATCATTTCCACTTCCTGTCTGGTTTTCCCACCTACATCTCCTGCCTGGCCCATCAGCATTTATTTAGAACATGATTGACAGAATACAGACAGTTCTCCCACACTACTCCGTAGCTTGCTCATCATGCTTTCTCATATAACTCAGGATCAAAAGCCCTGGAGTTTAACCTCCTACAGTGGGCTGGGCTGTCCCATATCAAAGACGAACTAATAAAATGCCCTACAGGCTTCCCTACAGCCTGATCTTCTAGAGGCATTTCTCAATTGAGGGTCCTTCCTCTCAGATGACTGTAGCTTGTGTCAGGTTAATATAAACTATCCAACACAACAGTATGAAAGCCTCAGGAAGATTGGGGAGTTATTGCAGAAATAGAACAGACACACGCACACACACACATACACACACACATACACACAAAGTGGGATACATGATCGCCAGGGACCACCAGCACTGCCTTTCATAGAGAATGTGTTATTTGGTTCTTGAAGAATGCAGGAAGGTTTATATTTCTTCTGAATTTTCTTTAATTGATTATTTGAATATATGATATTTGAGATTGAAG